ATTAAAAAAAAATATAAATATAAAAATATAAATATACTAAAAAAATTTTATATTATTATATTATATATAATATAATATAATATTATATATAATATATAACATATAATATATAATATATATTATAATATAGTATACTAATATAATATTATTATTATATATAACAAAAATTTTTTTTTAATTCACTTATCATCATTCATTTATTATTTTTTAAATGAAATATTTAAAAATATTGACAAATATAAATGGTAACATAAATATAGAAATTCATGATAATACTTAAGATAAATTTGAAAAGTAATTTAACGCTTTTTTTTGATGAACAAGAAAAATAAAAAATTTATTTGATAATTTATATTGATGATTATTATAAAATGATTATTTTTTTTAAGATGATTTTTTTGTTTTATTAGTTAATTGCGTAAGAATTCTTAAGTTGCTTGTATGATTCACGAATGAATTATGTAGAATCATAGCCAGCTGAGGTCCGGTTACTCGTTACCTGTTACTCGAACAAGTGTGCTGGCAACGGATTTGTCTTAAAGTATCGATCGTGACAATCTCTTCATTTCAACTTTTAGATCAATTTCTAACAAAAATTTCAGTTAATTTTGTTAATGCATTGTTAAAATATATAATAAAATTTCAAGAAATTAAAAAATATTATACTTTTATTATAATATAAAAAATATATATATTATATATATTTTAAAAAAAATATATATTTTATAATATATTATATATTATAAAAAATATTATACTTTTCATATATAAATCATACTTTTATCATTTATATTAATTATTAATCATATGATTATTATTTGATATAAATATATTTTGCATTTTTTTTTGTGTATATTCTATTCCATTTTTTTTATTTTTGTTAACAAGTTACATTATTATAATTATAATTACTTTTTAATATTATTTTTCTAATTTTTATTGCAAAACAAACTATAATTTAATAATTAAATATATATTATTTGATATTGCTTAGCTACTAGATTATAGCAATTTTATTGAAATAACGAATGAATTAATAAATTAATATTAACACTTTTAGAAATTATAAGGTTTGGAATAATTAAAAATTGTAGAATTCACTATTTCTATTTTATTCCGCTATTTCTCTAAAATATAATTTTTCAAAAAATTATATTTTAATTTCAATGATATATTTTAATTTTGTTGATATAACTTTTTAATTTATTATTAATATAATATGTTTCTAAAAATACATTAAAAAATTGAATGCCTCGATTAATATATTATATCTATTATTTATTTATCTATTATTTTATAAAATGTAACTAATAATAAATATAATTAATAATAATAATAATAATTTTATAAAGTAACTAATAATAAACTAAAAATTCAAGGCAAAATGTCTATTTGTTTAATGTTAAAGATAATATTAAAATATAAAATAATGACAGTAAAAAAATGAATGATTATGATATTCTTTATCAAATTTGATTTGAAACTTTTAATTTTTTTTTATTTGAAAATTTCTTTATTCGATTTTATAAAATTTATTTCGATGAAAAATTATGTTTTCTTAAGAATATATAAATATAAATATAATATATTATATATAATATATTATAATAAATATATTCAATTTTTCATATGATAAAAGTAATCTTGGAAATGATAATAACAATAAAATAAAAAATGAAGTATAATCTTTAAAGACATACATAATATAAATAATCTAAATGAAAATGAGAAATTATCGTCATGTCTATTTATATTATTTATAATCGCAATGCTGTTAGATATAGTAAGATAATTTATAAATAATATTTTATAATAATAATAAGTTTGCAAATTATCTTTAGCACAACATTGTTAATGGTTTCTCATAATATATGTAAGACCGTTGGAGAAGCTATAGTTTATTTTCTTTAACTTCTAATATTCATATGTATTTCTTTATACAATAAGATTAAACATCGATTTTAATTAGTTATTAAAAAATATTAATCATATAGACATTTTATTATTCAATATTTTCGAAGTAAAGTAAATCATATTTAGTGAGTTTGATAATTCATAAAAAATTAAGAGTAATTTAATTATATTAATTTCTTATATATAAAATAAATTTTTATAATTTAGAATTAATATATTTTCATTATATATATTCATTATAATATGATGCAGATATTTGATTCTCAGGTCAAGTGAATGTAGGACAAGTTCAAATGTTGAAAAGAAAAGGTAACGGCTCACTTTATTCGTGGAACGAAGTTAGATTGATCGTAGAAATTTAAACAATTAATGCGAGATGTACATGATGAATAAATATTAATAGATATTATATATATATATATAATTAAATAAATATTATATATATATATAATTAAATATTTAGTATAATTAAATTTATTTTTTTCGTTACAGCTATTAATCAAAATGATTTCAAATGAAGATGGTGATTTGATCGATCTTGGAAACGATAATTGTGTATCACGAGTATCGATTCAAGAATCATTATCCGATGAGCAAGAACATCTTCTCGATGTGTGTCCGCCAAAATTAGAACAGGCATTATCATTAACTAGAAAACAAGAACAAATACAATGTATAAATGACAATGGTGATATATTAGTCACTTTAGGTCATGATCAAGTAGTACCTATTCGTAAAAGAATTGATGTCGTTTCATCTGATACCATAAAAAGAGTTCGCGATATTACCAGGAACTTAGAACCAGTTATAAGAAAGACTTGTTCTGATATTAATGAAGAGCATCAAGATACTGTCGATTATGGGAGTGTATCAAATCATAAAGATGAATATTATCCCATTGAAAAGCTTGAAGAAGAAACATTTGAAGCACAAGAAATTAATAATGCTTTCAATTTTCTCACAGAACATGATGACAATGAAGATCATGCTGAGGCAAAATGTAACCATTACGATCAACTTATAAATTCACATAGATTTATGTTATTAACATGTTCTACTATAAAAAATAAACATTTGTTGAATTACCATAATAATGATTGTTCAAAAGTTTTAGAATATTGGAAAACCGATACAAATAACTTAGCTTTTGAATCTTCAGATAAACTTTCTGAAAATATTTCGAAAAATATATCTCATCCTTTTAGTTATGAATTCGAAACTAATAATATGAATATTATTAAAAAATGTTCCGAAGAAGAAATGTTTGTTCAAGCCAAAAAAAGATCATTTCAACATGCACATCGTAAATCTTGGACAGAAGGAACCACATTCAAAATTGTAACACAGGATGCATTCTCACGATTCGATAGATCAAGTAGTTTAAGAGAATATAATTGCTCACAACCAATTTTCAATGGTATTCATCGGCAGTCTAGTTTTATTTTAAGGTATAGTAATTTTATTATTTGCTTTCGCGTTTATTTAAATATAATAAATTAGCAATAAATTATTAAAAATAATAAAAATTATAATATTTGGTTATTGTATAATATACAAGTTTATATATATAAGATATCATAATATCTTATATTATATATTATTATCCAAAAATTTAAAAAAGGAATAAAAAATAAGGATTTTAATAATTGATGATTTAAATAAAATCATTAAAAATCACATATGTAATAAATTAAATTTATTTGTTATAATCAAAGCTTGCTAAATAATAAAATAATATATGTATAGTGAAATAAATATTACGATAATATCAAATGAATATAAAATTATATCAAAATTTTTGATTCATCAAAATGATTATTTTATTAAAAAATTATTTTATTTTTATTAAAAAAGTTTTGATATTTTTTCAACATTCTATTAATTTCTTTTCTATTAATTTTTCTCTATTAATTTTTTTAATTTTTCTCTATTAATTTATTCTATTAATTTTTTTCTATTAATTTCTATTAATTCTTCTATTAATTTTCTATTAATTGTCTAAAATTAATTGTCAATGTTAATAAATATTTATTATAAATAGTTATTTTAATATTTTAATATTTACAAAAACATTTTTTATTTCATTTGAAATTGACTATTTCCAAATTTTTTAATAATAGTATATGTATGTATAAATATACGTACGTTTAAAATAATATAAAAATCTCAGAATAATTTTATTAAATCATGAACTTGAATCTTATTTAAATATTCATTTAAATTATTTTATTTTGACTTTGAATATATGGATAATGATAATATGATCAAGTTATCATTAAGTCATGAAGTCATATATTAAGAAATATTCACTTTGATTTCAAACTTTGATTTTATTACTTATTTTTTAAAGTCATCAAGTAAATTTTTTTGTTATGTATATTTTATGTTATATTTGATAAATCTTTTTCGTTTTTCCACAAAATATTTGAGAATAATAATTTTTTGTGATAATTTTAAATATTATTTTTGTATAATATTTAAAAAGCGCTTTTTACATTAACAAAATTTCATTATTATAATAAATAATAAATAAAAATATTATTTTTCAAAATATTACAAAATTCTATTTTATTCATGTAATATTGTACAATATATAACAATTTAGTTTTTAATAAATGAGTCTATTTATTAATACTGAATAATTGTTTTTAATTGAGAAGTTGAATTTGTTAAATGTCATCAATATTCATTGCAGAATATGAGCAGATTTTATATAATAATATAAAAGTTTGATTTTTATCAAGTTTATAAAAAAATAGGAAGAAAATTTTATAAATTATGTAATTTTTTTATGATTAGAAATGAAAATGTAAAAGCAGAAATTTGATAGCTTTTTTTATCTTTTAGAATATAATAATAATACAATATTTCATATAAAAATATATATTAAATTTTTTTTAGTTAAGTTAAAATAGTTTATATAAATAGAAAGTAGATCATTTTTGAAAATTAATAACGATAGAATCAATAAATTATGATAGAAATATTATTCATTTTAAAGAGCTTCTGTTTTAAAATATTATGATTAATTAGAAGTAATGTCATAAATTGTACGAAAAATATAGAGGCAAAACTATGTATGTAAATATTTAAAGTAACATTTGTAGTCACGTCCGAAAAATAAAGATTGATAAAACTTTTTCTATATGATTCATATTTTTTTGGATTTAATCTCTTTTTAATTTCACGTATTCTTTTTTTTCTTTTTAGATATACTATATTATTTACTTTTATATTATTCGTAATATATCTAGCTAAATTTTCTTATAATACATAATTCAAAGAAATATATATTGTATATATTTATAATTATGTATAATTTATATTTCTTTTTAATTTAACAAGTAATCATAACATGTAATTTAAATGCAGAGGAACGATAAATTAAAAAAACTATTTTTATTTACAGTTGTTCAATAAAACAAGAAATAGAAACCAATAAAGAAGATCAAGGGGATAGATATTCAGATTGTTCGGAAGTAGATTGGTCATGGCTGGAAGAAATAGAATATCCGCGAGTTACGGAGTCGTTAGCAGTTAGTGTGGTTGACGCGGTTCAGGAAAACACAAAAGGAAGGAGTGCATCCCCCACCAATGAAACTGCAAAGCGCAGGCGCAATCACGAGTATCGTGCCATCGAAGCGGGTTGTAGTGCCGCGATGTCTGTTTCTGGAACAGTGAAATCCCTAGTAGTTGATAGTTCGCGATGGTCAACATCCGATCCGTTGTCTGATTGTAACAGACATGATCAGAATGAAATTATACATTGCAACGCAAATAACGAAATTATCGATCAGGAAATACGTGAAAACTCTACAGTTGTTAATTCTTGGGTACGAGCTTCAATGAGACGTTTGCGCCATTTAAGATTACCGGAAGAAACCGAACGACAACGAAGCATCGATTCGAATAATTGCCGCGGAACTATTGCGTCCGCGCCAAATTCTTTACCAGATATCGCCCTAATTGCACCAGAAATATTAGCTGCCCAAACAAATGGTACATCCGGCACTCTTGTGAGACCATCAAGTGCTCCTGTTAGAAATACAAATAATTTAAATGTTGTATTCCAAAGAAGTGAAAGACAATTTCGAGGAAGTCGATCGCAAAGAATAAGAAATCGTGAAATTACTTCGAGGCAAAATAGTGTTTTGTCGTCAACTACGGGTAGTGACACAACCGTTTCAGGAACTACGACATATTCTAGTTCTTTTGGCGGTATTTCTACAAGTCCACCTTCCAGCACGACAAGTCCACAACGCATCGCTTCCAGACGGTGAGTTTCATCATTTTTTATTTTTCTAAATAGAGAATTCAATAGAATTTATTTGAACAAGTTTTACTTTATCAATAAAAATCTCTAAGATTCAAAAAATTTTCCATACATTATCTTTCGAATAATAAACAAAATATTAAAATATACCATTTGTATGAATATTAATATCTTCTTTTTCAAAGAATTATTGAAAATCTAAATCGAGAAATTTGTTAAAGACATCATATTTTGTTTATTTAATTCTATTCACATTCATCGAAAATCGGCTTAACAAGTTGTGTTCATTCATGTTTGATTGCAAATACTTACTTATGCTTTGAATCTTTTTTGTGACGCAAACTGTCACATTTGGTGACCAAAATATTAGGAAATTAATTTAAGAAATTATTTCTGTATATATATTTTTATTTTATTATCTATTTTTATTAAATTATTTAAAAACTAGTTGTACTATTTATGCGATAAATGTATAGAAAGTCTCTTTTAAATTATTGAATTAACATAAAATATTCGCAAAGCTTATAATATATCAAATAAATAGTTTCATGTCATGACATGAAACTGAATATATATACATATGTGAAAATATATATACATATGTACATGTAAATAAAAGATAATGATTTTTTTATATTTTATAAAAAAATATTATTTTAATTATATATATATATATAATTTATAACATGTTGATTTTTTAAAATTTAAAATAAAATTTTAAAATGCAGATTAATGATGTAATATTTACTACAATTAATTAATTTCTATTTTTTTATTTTGCTAAATATTAAATCTTATATATTAGGAATTAAGGAACAAAACAAATTTTTATTTTATTAATATTTATAACTAAATATATAATTTTAAAATCTGAAACATGATGCATGCTAAAAATGATCAATATAATGATAAATGTTTTATTTTTTTCCTATAAATCGATTATTCATTAAAACTGTTATATAAAATAATATGAATAAGTAATATAAAACTTAAAATTAATAATAAAAAATAATATTTATTACAATGTTGTTAATGCTGGGAATCAAAAAAACATTTCACAAATTTTTTATCCATATTTTTTATATGTGTGTTTAAAAAGTTTTATTATAAATAACATTAGAAATAACAAATAAAAAGGATTTGAAAGTTAATAGAAGAATGAAAAATAATAAATGCCAATTTTATAACAATTAATTTTATAATATCAATTTAATAATTAATTGTTTTCATAATCGTTGATTACATAAGTTAACATAATATTTTAACTTTAATAATTATTAGCGCTATTTAATTTTTGCAAATAGAGAATAAAGATAAGTATAAAGTTCTTCTTTAAACTTGAAAAGAATATATTAGATATAATTTATATATTGTAAAAAATTTCTCAATCATATATATTTATATGTTCATTCAAAGATTTACGAATAATATAAGAAATTAAAAAATAACTGACTTTTAAAATGTTTAAAAAATCATAAATTTCCATTATCGAAGAATATAAGAAAAAATAAAAAAATATCATGATTTAATATTTGAAAACTTAGAGAAAATATTATATATAGTTTCGTTCACATTAAGCAATTGTCGAAGATTTATATTACAAAGATGAATTTCAAAACTTACTTCAAAATTTTTCATACTAAAATTCATTTCATTTTACTAGAAAAAAAATAATATCGAATGTAAATTGTAGAAAAAAATTCAAAAATATTGATGAGATCATTTAAATTTGCAATATCAATTTTGTCTTTTGAATTCTTTTCATATTTAAATCAAAACTTGATACATATATTTTGTTTTTCTATTCATAAAAATCAAATATCACTAAAAATAAGAAATTGTTAAAGTCAAAAATATCAATAATTAATTTCTATAATTAACGATTATTCGAAAATTGTTAAATCAATTGTTATAAAATTTAGTATTTTTTTGCAGAAAGATAAAAGATAACTTTTGAATTTTTTTATTTTTTTATATTTTTTTTATTTTTTTATGTTATTTCTAATATTTATATTAAGTTTCCGAACTTTTCAAATATTTATATAATTTAAACGATTTATTTTCTTCACTATATTTTTATATCTATTTATTATATTTTATATTAATATTAAGCTGATAAAAAAGTTAAATTGATTTTTTATTTCGATAAAATAAATAATTTAAAATAGTTTATGCACATAAATTTATGATTTAAGAATATTCTATGTTCATAAAATATTCTATTTTTGCAATTGTGTAATCAATAAAAATTAAAGAATTATAATAATTAGACTGTATAATAAAACAAAATTTAATAAAAAAAAATTTATATTTTCAATTCTTCAAAAGTATATTGTAATTCTAAATTGATCATTTCTATTTAAAAAACTGATATTATTTTTTTAATAGTTTCTTATTTACTTACTAATACTTGTATATTTAAATTTGTTGAATATTATGTCAAATATAAAAGAAAATGAAAAAAATTTAAAACTATTATTTATTTGAGTAATTATATCGATTGAGTAAATACTGTAAATACAATACACGGTTTTTGGGTCAATAGTTCTTACGGACTTATAATATTCTACTCCGAGTCAACGGTACTATTTGTTGTAGGAGTTCTCTTAACGGTATATTTATATAATAATTCTATTATATTTTTCAAAATTTATCAAGATTTTATTCATTATTAAATGCATTTTATAAAAAAAAAAGATAATAATTATTGTTATATTTGAAATCGTTATTATTAATAATTATATTACAAAAATTTTTCCAATTTGTTTGAAAATTAATTTGTTTGAAAATTAATGTTCAGTATAAATATTTGAATAGCGTACATATGCATTAATAATATTTCCTCGTATTGATTATTTTATAAATATAAAAACATTCAAAACAAACATTTTGTACGAATATATTTTAACAAATAAATATTAAATATTTATTAACATTTATATTTTATTTATATTATATACATTTATATTATACAAGATATTTACAAAATAAATTTTTATAAATGTGAGAAAAAAATTTCAATTTTTTTTTATAATGTAAAAGAATGTAAAAGATAAATGAAAGAAAAATATGTGAAACACATACTATACATTATTGTAAAATATTAAATAAATATTATATAAAAAAAAAACACAAAGTTAGTTAGTTTTTCTAATAGTTAGTTTTTGTAATATCTATTAAATATCGGAATTAGAAAATTTGCATAATAAATAATAAATTTATGATTAATTAGTTTCTTTTATATTTGTGTCTTTCATTATATAAATTTTGAAAAGTTTAAAATAGTTTAAAATAGTTTTAAATTATTCAAAAACAAAATTATTGAATTTTATAACTTTTCTCATGGATATAATTATAATCTATATATATATATATCTAAATTTAACAACATTTTTTTAAAATAATAATTTAATAAAATAAATTTATGAAAATACATAAGAATAAATAAAACGAATAATCATTATTTATTAATTAATATTTATTAATTAATCAATATTTTTGTACCATTTATCATCGATATGTATGAATATTTACTTCATATTCTTAATTTTATTACTTAGTTATATCAACATATCGAATTAATTATTACAATAAGAAACGAGGAATTAAGAGTTATTGTTGTTTAATTGTTGATCAATTCTTAAAAAATTAAAAACTAAAAGAATTAATATATATATTTCTTTCAATAAAAATTATATATTAATCTTATAATTTATATGGTAATATTTATATTTCATTTTTAATAATATTTGTTCTTGAAATTATTAAAATATAAAAAAATTTTAAGAAATTTATTTCAAAATGTAGGAAAAAATTTTAGTAATGATAAAAATAAGTTATTAATATTATCAAATTATCAAATATTAGCAGTTTATATACAATAAAAAATTAAATATTAAATATGAATATTATAAGTGATCAATGTCAGTTGATCCTAATTCTGATGATCTGACGAACGATTAAATACGCAAGCGTAAGTATACACGTGCGTTCATCTACCTTGTTCGTCACGTGACTTTAAGTGGATACAGTTATACATTGACTTTAGAGGGATCCTATGTATTTACTTACATACTTACATACGATTCATCAGCAATGGTATATTTAGTCAGTATAGCTAGTTGCTGGAAGCATAAACGATCGTGAAATTTTTCAAAGTTTATTCGCGATAACGCTACAATTTGTTTTTAAGTGATTATCAAAAACAATAGTGTATTTATAATTCATTATTTCTTGTTTTGATAAAAATTTTTTTTATATTATTTGAAATATCAAATTTTAAATATCAGAGACATCAGATAATCTTTTTTATATCTTATTTTAATACATTATTTTAAAAAATTAAACTAGTTAAATTGACGACGATCATATCGTTCCTCGTGTTGCTTTTTCTCTGGCGTTTTACCAGTTACTAATCGATATTTCATACAAGAAAATGAATTTGGTTGGAATACTATGACATATATTATTTGAAGTATTATCAAGTAATTATTTTACAAATGTTAAAAATCAAAAAATAATTCTACGAAAATATATTTTCTTTATATTCTCTTAAATAATATGTTAATTAATAATAAATAAGATATGAAAAAAATTTCAATTCAAAAAATGATGTATAATAGATAATATAAAATATATGATAAAAAAATATATGATAAATAAATTTTTAAAATATAAAAAATATAAATATTTTTATATAAATTTAGTTTTGTGAAAAAATTAAAAAATATGCATATAAAATGATGATTAAATTATTTTTTAAATGTTTGAAATATTATATTAATTATTGATAGATTTGGATACATTTATTTTATTGTTAGTTGTAGAATTAATCGCATCAAGAAGTTATATGTTTTTTTATTAAAAATTCAACAATAATAGAAAAAATTTATTATATTTTTTTAAATAAAGTTCGAATTGTATCTTTTATTTGAAATCATAGTTAAATGAAAACAATTTAAATCAATTTCGAAAGTAAATATGATAAAAAATATTCTTCTTAA